ACATTTTTTATTTGCCTAATTTTTTTATTATGGGTTCCCCATAGGTAGACAATCACAAAACACCATTTGAAAAAAATTTACAAACCATAGTTTTTTTTTTGGCGGCCATTTTAAAATGGTGGTTTTGCCGATTTTAGTAAAATACAAGGTTTGCGGAAAGTTTAATTGCCAAGCTATTTTTTAAGATATCAGAAAAATTCAAAAACCATTGTCTTCAGCATAAAATGAACTTCAAGTTAACATTATATTAATGTTTCTTTTATGTAAAATAGTCAGTCAAACTTGTTCTGCAAAATATCGGATGAAACTCATCAATCGTCAATCTTTAAGACCTTAAAGATTTATGAAGGGAAAGAGACTCAGTGCTAAAACTTTATTTCTGTGTTGAATACTAATGTAACTACCTGCTGAAGAAGTTTTAGCTCTGAGAATGCTCTCCTTTTTTTTCTATACCTTTTCAAAAATGGCCGAAAGCCGTAAAATGTCAATTTTTGGGGGGTAATAACTAAAAAGGGACTGAATGAAAATAAGTGAAAACCTTACAAAATGTTCTTTATACAAATATGAACATCCAACAAAAAAATTATGACTGAGACTTAAATACATTTAGAGATATACAGCATTGAATTTCAGATAAAAATGCTACCTTTTTCCTCGCGCGTGCATTGCCAACTTTGCGAACGACTGCTTTTTTAAGAAGTCAAGAAGTCATTACTTTAACAATTAACTTATATTTAACACTTAAAACATTATATTCATTATATTAATGTAAAATTATGATTTAAAATAAAAATTATTTAAAACCATAAAAAACACGGTGTTCCTCTCCAATCAAACAATACTCATAACCATAAAATAGCACTTAGCACATATAACCTATTTTAAGGAAAAATAAACATTATAGGCCTATCTGTTTTACTGTAAAAATACGGTAATTATAAATGTTAATTTATGTTCCAAAATATAATTTAAATACATTTTATAAAAATATTATGTAAAAAATATAGGTTAGTAGGCCTAACTAATACTTTATTAACTCAATAATATTTTATAATTAATATCATGTTCCAACAAGTCAATGAGTTTTGCAGGGATTGTTAGGTCTAGACAACTGAAACAGTCTATACAGCCTTCCTGTACCAACATGTCTCTGCAAGTTGTGACATGAAACCCCCACCCTCACATCCATTGCTTAGACATAGGTGGAGCTCAGTTGTTGATAGTTCTTTGACTAGTGATCATGTTCTGTCAGTGTTGTTAAAAATTTGGATTCCCAATGCTCTATAGTGATTCGCCTTATCATTAATAACATTAAATATGAGTTGTTTTGTGGGTGAACTAATAAGTGAACAGTGTCATAAACAACATTACAAGAAAGAAGTGCCTCAAGAATTAATTAGGGTGAGTGACTTGCCAGCTGAAGAACAATGTTTGCTAAAATTAAGAATCTCTAAAGAAATTACTAATATTTGTCACTACCATAAAGATAAATATTTAGACAAATACAACCACATTTTTGGGAAAAAATGTTGTGATCCATTTGGTTGCCACAAAAAACCAGTTAAAAATGGTTTGCGTAAAATGCTTATGGATCACCTTTCCAAGAATAAAAATGTAGACATCGACCTGATTCCTGGACAAGCTCTTTGTCCAACATGTGCATCAAAAATATTTGTTGAGAAACCTGTTGAAGAAGAGGTGGATCTTGTTGAAAATGACCCTGAATTTCATCCTCAGCCTTTTGAATTAGTTGAGGATAACCCTCTGTATAAAGTTGAATCAATTTGTGAAACTTTGGAATTATCTCCATTGTGTAAAATAAGTAAGCTTAACACAGAACAGCGACTGTCAGCTTTACAAAAAAAAAACTGATAAAATTGCAAGTGCAGTTAAGAGGAAATTGGAAGAATCTTTCCATGAAGATTTAGAAGCCCCAAGACAAAGTACTACAGAAAATATACAAAGTGAGTATGAAATATTAATAACCAAACTGAAAGAAAAGTTCAAGGTTTCTAGTAAAGATGATAAAATTAAGATAATTAGTCTCTTGCCAAGATCATGGTCGAAACAAAAGATAATTGATGAATTTGGTGCTTCTGAATATATGGTTAAGTTAACAAGGCAGATGACAAAGGACCAAGGTATCTTACCACATCTATCAAAAAGAAAAGGAGGGAAAAAAATAAGCGAAGTTGTAAAAAATTGTGTAAAAGAATTTTACGAGGATGATGAACATAGTCGCTTATGTCCTGGTAAGAAAGAGAGTGTTTCTACTATAATTGACAATGTTAGGGTGCATAAGCAGAAAAGGTTAACTCTTCTCTCACTGAATGAGCTCTACAGCCTCTATAAACAGAAAAACCCTGATCACAAGATTGGTCGCTCTATGTTTTGCGCTCTGCGACCAAAGTGGTGCGTACTTCCAGGTTCATCAGGTACACATAGTGTGTGTGTTTGTAAGCACCACCAAAACGCAAAGCTTATGATCGAAGGAGCAAAGCTGAATGCCAATTATAAAGACCTTATATCATTCATGGTTTGTGACATTGAGAATGAAAAATGTATGCTCGACTCCTGTGAAAAATGTCCTGGACCAAATACCCTACTTGATGCCTTAAAAAATGAACTTGACACCTTGCCTGACGAAGTAGTTTTTAAACAGTGGGTACAAACCGATAGAGCTGAGCTGATAACACAGGTAATGCCCAGTGATGAATTTTTAAATTCTCTTGTTGATAAGCTCGTGCTTTTAAAATCCCATCACTTTATCTCAAAAGCTCAAGCTCAACATTTCAAGACGACAAAAGAAAACCTGACAGAAACTCGTTGTTTGGTTAACGGTGACTTTGCTGAAAACTATACATTTACCGTACAGGATGAAATTCAAAGTTTTCACTGGACTAATACTCAAGCAACTCTCCATCCCTTTGTAATCTATTACATAAAACAAGGCAAATTAAGTTGCAAATCTATTTGTGTAATCAGTGACAGTCTTGATCACAATACCACGACTGTGCACACATTTCAACATCATCTAATCAGGGAGATAAAGAAGATAATACCTAATGTTGAAATGGTAATTTACTTCAGCGATGGGGCAAGCAGCCAGTACAAGAACAAGAAAAACTTCATCAATGTCTGCCAACACGAAAATGATTTTGGTTTAAAAGCGGAATGGAATTTCTTTGCCTCATCACATGGGAAGAATTCTTGCGATGGTATTGGTGGAACCACTAAACGAGAAGTTACACGAGCTTCACTTCGAAGACCTTACACTGAACATATCCTGACCCCAGAAGATATGTTCAAATATTGCCGAGAGAATATTACAGGAGTTCAATATATATTTGTTTCTTCAGCTGAAATCAAGCAAATGGAAACAAAACTTACTGAGAGATTTGAATGCTGTTTACCAGTGAAAGGAACAAGAAGCTATCACAGATACGTCCCCATCAGTGACAATCAAATTAGATGTTTTGTTACTTCTGCAGGTTCAAACTTTGACGATCATCAAACTTCGATACTTTTCACAAATGTATCATCTTTTACGAGTAATGACTATGTTGCCTGTATCTATGATGACAAGTGGTGGCTTGGTAAAATCGAAGACAAAAGTGAAGTCAATAATGATGTATTGGTGCATTTCTTTCACCCTCCTGGACCCAAAACTGCATTCCAACTTTCCAAAAGTGACACTGCCTGGGTGCCTGCTAAGAAAATAGTGCGAAAGGTGACTCCACTAGAACTAACAACTGTCTCTGGTAGGACACATAACATAGATGATAAACTATGTAATGAAATATCATCTTTATTTAATTTACTGATGAAAATTGCAGTTAACAAGTAATTGAAACCAATGTTTTAAATCTAAATGTACAGAAAAACATTATTGTGTCTATACTAGTAAACTATACGCAAGTGAAGTACAACAATGTTAACGGTAAGTTAAGTTGAAGAATTATAATTCTTAACTTATTATTCTCACTAAATATTTTTATTCAATATTTAAAATGTTTGATTATGTTTTGTAAACTCATATATGATGGTTTAAAAATAACTTAGACAATGTCAATTGTATTTCAACTGCTATCTTGGCACCGCTCGTGCTAGAAGGAGGGTAGCGTTTTTATCTGAAATTCAATGCTGTATAACTCTAAATGTAGTTAGGTCTCAGTCATAATTTTTTTGTGAGATATTCTTATTTGTATAAAGAACATTATGTGAGGTTTTCACTTGTTTTCATTCAGTCCCTTTTTAGTTATTAACCCCCGAAAATTGACATTTTACGGCTTTTGGCCATTTTTAAAAAGCTATAGAAAAAAAAGGAGAGCATTCTCAGAGCTAAAACTTCTTCAGCAGGTAGTTACATTAGTATTCAACACAGAAATAAAGTTTTAGCACTGAGTCTCTTTCCCTTCATAAATCTTTAAGGTCTTAAAGATTGACGATTGATGAGTTTCATCCGATATTTTGCAGAACAAGTTTGACTGACTATTTTACATAAAAGAAACATTAATATAATGTTAATTTGAAGTTCATTTTATGCTGAAGACAATGGTTTTTGAATTTTTCTGATATCTTAAAAAATAGCTTGGCAATTAAACTTTCCGCAAACCTTGTATTTTACTAAAATCGGCAAAACCGCCATTTTAAAATGGCCGCCAAAAAAAACTATGGTTTGTAAATTTTTTTCAAATGGTGTTTTGTGATTGTCTACCTATAGGGAACCCATAATAAAAAAATTAGGCAAATAAAAAATGTTGAGCAACATGACCTGGGTGATTTGAAATGGATTGACCCTATTAGAAGTTATTTTATTTCAACGCAATGCAGTAATCTAACATCATGTAGGCCTATTATAATAACATAATTCACAAATATTCTATAAAAAGACCATTACGAACAAATGAATCTTTACATCGTACTCTAATGTTGATTGTTCCATTATCAGTGTTTTGCTCTCTCTCTCTCTGATTCACCATTCACTTCCTCCTTTGGTCCCAATACCTGCATAACTGTGTCAATCGGACAGTTAACAAGTTCAGTTTATTTTCTCAGTTTCGATTTAAAATTATTTCTCAACAGTGCTTCCCTTGGGTAAATGTCAAACTCTCAACCAGATTTTGGTTTTAGATCGGCCCCCAACTGTGCTCGCTGCCGCAACCATGACGTCCAGTTACCGGTTAAGAGTCATAAGCGATATTGTAAGTTTCGTTTCTGCGCCTGCAACAAGTGTTTACTCACAGCGGAACGTCAAAAGGTAAGCATTGGCTGTACAATTTTTTTTTTTATTTGGTGTGAAATTATTTCTCAGTATGAGTTTAATTTGATGAGTTTAAACATTTCCATTGAATACTAGCATTTTTTGTGCTCATTGTAAAACAGACTACCAATAAAGCACAATTAGAGGCTAGAAACAAAACAATTTTATTAAAAAACTTTCTTCCCACAAGAACACAATAAGTTGTTTTTTAAACATTAAATATTAACAAATAAAACCAGTATACGATCTTGATTTGATATTGGTCTTGGAAAAGATTTGAGACCAGTGATCACGTGTCTAAATACAATGCTCTTCTAAATTTAAGTCGAATAGGCCTACTGTAAGGTCAAGTGGATTAAGTGTACACCCCAAATCACATAGAAAACTTTGACCACAGATTAAAAAGCGCATGTAGGTGCTATACAAATCAAATTTGCTGAGCTTTTTATTTGGAATATTTAAATTCATATATATATATATACTGGGTGTATAAGAAGTCCCACACCTGCTTAATATTTTCTAAACAACAACAGATAAATGTGTGTGTCTGTTAGCGCGATAACTCGTGCAAAATGATTTTGATGAAATGTGGTACAAACGTGTAAACCTACGTTCATTCTAACAAGTTCGCGAACCAGCATAATTGGAATATAGGAACTTAAGGGGGTTTTTGTGGGGTAAAAATTGGATTTTCCCATTCTTGACTCTAAAATCATAGAATTTTACACTTTTTTCGAGACAATTTTGTAGAACTTAAAAAAAGAAATAATTTTGTTTATTGAAGCGTCGTTGTATGCCCAACGGATACGGAGGTAATTAAAAAAAACTTGAAATTTAAAATTCCCAATTTATTCTTATTGAAAATTAATAAACTGTTGTAGTTTGCGTGTTTATGAACATATTTGAATAAACATTTTGGCAATTTTGTTTATTTCATACTAAGCTATCAACATTTCAATCAAAAACACACCTCAATACGTTCCCTGTAGCAACAAACCTAGGTACTCGTTAAAATTATAATGTTATTTAAATAGGAAATAAATCTGACAATTTTCGGGGTATATTTTAGTAGAAATACAGCCAGGTAAATGAAATTTTCTTAGTCTGTTGGTTTGCTGCAAGGGGGTATTTTTATTTTGTTAAAAATATGAATTTTGTCTTTTTGAGAATTTTTTTGTAAAATGACATTTGGGGTGTACACTTCCCCCTTGATCTAGGGTAAGTGTACACCCCACCCCTTATTGTAGCTTTCCAAACAGCATATTGCTTAATGTTGTGGCAAGTAGATTGTAGAAGGGGAAATTAGCTTTCTTTTGATTTTTTTATTCATCAAAATATCTCAAACGGTTCAGGAGTTACTTTTTTGTGAACCTCCGCAAGGGAAAAAGGAAACCCCAGCTTTATTAGAAATTGTAAAGAAAATAAAAACCTTATGATTCCACTATTCCATTGAATTAGGTCTCAAAGAGCAGACAATTAGCTTTATTTTAGTCTTTTAATAAATAAAATATCTTAACTTATACAGTAGTTAAGAGTTTTTCGTAAACCTCTGCTCGGTGAAGCAACTTAAAACTTTAATATTTTAAATAGTAATTGGCTTTAGGCCCTGAATGTTCCTATATTAAACCTTAAAAAACTAAACTTACAAAGTGCAAGTTTTTTCTTGTCATTCAAGCAAGAGATAACAAAATTTTCTTTATTCTTTGATAATTATCAGTTATTGAGGTACACTTGCCCAACGGGAAAAAGTACACTTTGCCCTAAAAAAATTTCACTCAGGGTAAGTGTACCCCTAACACCCCAAAATTGACTTTTATGGCCATAACAATGATATTTTTGAATTCCCCTTCAAAAAATAAGTAAGTTCACAAAATTTCTGTTAGTTATCCTTGCATTTCAATTTTTAGTAATTTTTTATAAATTTTCTGAGCGGCACTTGCGTTTTGAGTACAAATTCTTAAACACGTCTAAACTCATATAACTCATAGCAAGAGAATTTGTTGTGATTATAATTTAAAAAGCATAGTTTGAAATACCTTTGACCAAGCTTTCATATTTTTTTGTTAATAAACAAATTTATTATTAGCTGGAAGTCCACTTGCCCCGGGCGTATACTTACCCCACTTGACCTTATACAGTACGCATTTAAACAGTCCGTTTTAAGTTTTAGGGGATGTCGATTTAACCGGAAAACCCTTTATCCAGACTTGCCTCGGTTTCGAGGAGTCCGGAAAAGAGGGTCTACTGTATGTTTTTTAATCACATTCAAATTTAGGATTCTCTTACATTCTTTGATCTCAATGGCAACAACATGGGGAAAACCAAAATATCTTATCAGAGAGTATCTGAAAAAGAGCAAAATAAAGAACGTTTAATTTAAAATTGAAATCTTGAACCTTTTGATGACTGTGATGTGTGTTAGGTGATGGCAAGACAAACAGCTGTTAGGAGAGCTGAAGAACAAGATCGCCATAGACTAAAGCAAGGACTTCCTGTGCCTAATGGTTCAGATCCACCTTCCCATAGTGTGTCAGGTTAGTTCTTGAATTATTTTCCTGATGTGTTTTCAGGTTGGTTTGAAACTTGATTGTGAACAAATACATTCAACATTGACTATGTCCTACTGCAGGAAAAGGCTGTTTTGTATTGTGAAGTACAGTAGTTAGTTATTTTAATCCTTAGGGTAAAGAAGAATCAGCAGGGTTTGCATGTGAGGTGTTATGGGCCTAGAGGTAATTGCACCGCTCTCCATTTACCTCGTGGGGTAATTTTCTCTCCCTTGCACCCCCAACAAACTTAAACCTCTTCCGCCCCTGGGCTCGGACCCACCAGGCCCATTTATAAAAGCGGCCCTGAAATCAGCTGGATTCAAGAACAGATGCTTAAAATTTTTCTCCTTGCAAACTAATTCCTGCAGTGCCATGGTTGTAGTTTGGCTGCTTTATGATTTGTTACTATGAATCTGACAAGATGATTAACATAGGAAATAACACAATTGTAACAACAAAACATTTGAATACCTAAGTAACGTATACTACTTGTATTTTTCGTTCATTTACAGACTCTTTTAAATATAACAGGGATTAATTCTGAACAAAATTCCCAGTTAAAATTTACATTTTAAAAATCAAACTTTAGTTTTTAACTCTCTATTAAGAAAAGTGTCTAAAGCAAAACATATAAGAATAAGAATAAGAATATATTTATTTCCAAAATTACAAACTACACAAATTACAATCGTGGCTGTAAAGCAAAGTACAAAGGAAAAAAATCCCCACAAAGACTGTACATCTGCGTGTGGGGAGAGTCTTCTCCGTCGCTCACCACTTCACAGACAAGATAACAAAATAAACAAATAATTATTTAAATAAAAAGAAGTATATTTTTTTGCCATATTGTTGGCAAAAAAGACTGAACATGAACAATATTTGAAGTACTTGAATGAGGGTGCCAGTACTGAAGTAGTTTGGTTTATTAGCCTAATTTAGTTTTAGAATCGTATAATCATATATAATGTATCGCTTAACTACATTTTTTCTTGCTAATGCACAATTAAAGTTCAATAAAGATTTGATAATTCAAACATATTCTTTATTTATTATTTTCAGTGGTGTTCCCCACAATTCACAATTATTGACAAAGATTTTGAAATATTTAAAATTTTCTCAGAGACAAATTGTAGTTCTGTTACTTCAATTTTTAGCAAGCAAGAGATCTTTGACCTTAAGTTATTGCCAGTTTTTTATTCAACATTGTCGTAGTTGATGTGAGCCACCAACGTACTTTACACGTTCGCTCCGATAATTTTTTTACTGATTTATTAAGTTTTTGAAAACTCCGACGTTTACCACTGATGGTACAAAGGGTGGTCCCAAAACTCCAACGTGCGGCACCGGTGGACACCGTTGCTATGGTGATTATACGCAACAAAACGGCATTTCGTAGTCTCTGTGAGTGTTTTTACTACGTATTTGTGACTGTAGAAGTCACATGAAGCGTGTCCATGCGTGGTACATGAACCATATTCAGGTTACATTAATAATAAAACACCAAATTATGAAAAAAAATTGTTTTTATTTCAACGAAAAACTTTTTTAAATATCAAAAATTGAACTAAAAAGTAATTTGTTACTGTTCAAAGTCTGTTTTTAAGTTCATGGAATGTACTTGTTTCCAACATGATAACACGTCGACGTGTACCACATGTGGTACACGTTTTAATTAGCATAGTTAATATCTTATTTTGTTACTGAAACGGTACAAGTAGTGTACAGTTGATAAATAATTAATTATATCTAATTATTCCTGACACATTTTAGTTTTTTTGAAAGTATATGGTAATTTCTACACAAATTTACTTTGACTGAATTTTATTCGTGCGCCACCGGTGGCCACGTTGGAGTGAACGTGTTAACTACGGTTTTTTGTCTAATACATGAACTTTTTTTACAAAGTAAAACCATAGACTATGCAACACAAGTAGACTCCTCATCCCATTGTAAATTTTGAAGCTTGTTTTTCGTGTCTAGTTCATGTACGTCCACACTGATCGCTGGGGTAGACAACATTTTGTTTCTGTTATTTTAGGGTTATTTTCATGATTTGTGCTTTACTATTTGGTTATATAACTAGGAGACTAGTTATTGCTTATGATTACCTCGTTTTATTTGGTTAAATGAGGTTTTAAATGACTGAAATAACAAGAAACAAATTGTAAACAAAACATAACCTCTACAGTTGGACGTACAGAACTAACAATAAAATTGGCACCAGCTGTTCCATAGGAATGACAAATCTACTAAGGGAGTATGATTTATCTATGGTAAAACTGATGAAACAGTTTATTTTTAGCTGCAACTGTTATGACCATCAGATAAGGTAGCTACACAAATTTAGAAAGTTGTATTTTTGGACACTACTCAACTACCTATGTTCTTTTTTAATAAATTATGGGCGACAGCTGGCGTATGGATGAGATGTCCATTCAATTGTCCAACAGTCGTGAAAGCTTAACCAGAATATTAATTTGGCGAATTTGTCTAAAACTTACAGAGCTTAAGTGAATTTGCGGTTAAGTCTATTCTCAGGGGGAGGCATGGCCCTCTGGCCCCCTTTATGGGTGTCAATGATTTTGTAAACACATATGAGCTAATATTCATTCTCCTGTATTAAATACTAGTTTTCTGAAAAAAGGCGCTTTATTGTTTTGAGAAATATTTAATCTAGACTAGAAATGTTTGTTATGAGATCAACTAAGCCATAACAGTCACATAATAAACAGCAATAAAACTATGCAACACTGCTCGGATGGTCGGTAAAACCCGCCAAGCTGGAGTATTATTTCCCCAAAATTTGACTGAATGTCATTGTTTCGATGTAGAAGTTACATATTTTACGACACAAAAAAGGTATTTGGACTTTGGTTTTTAAATAATAGGTTAACATCAAATGCAATTTCTAAAGAAATAATTTGTGCGTAATAGAATCAAGTTTGCTCTAATTGGAAATGATAACCAATATAATAGACATATTTACAACTCACACATAGTTGTAAATAAAGAAAACTTACAAGGTTAAACACACTAGAAGAATGCTATCAGTTTAAAAAGTGATAACTGTTGTGATGTTATAACTTTGTCTCTAGAAAAATTAACCAGTACTTTTAATAGCTGGTCATAACGATGTTTTGTTGACATGATTGTATCAAGTATAGCTCAGGTCAAACTCAAACAAAAAGTAATTAATTAGTAGTAAAATGCCTGCCTGATTCTAGATAAAATTAATTAACAATTCACCCATCTTTCAACTTACACTCGAGCTTTCCACTACAAATTTTAGTTTTTGTCTCGCATACTGTTGAACTCCTCATGAGTCACTCGAGACTTGTCCAAGACTAGATTCGAACCCTCAACTTCACAGTTGTCTATTGGCTGCTAAAGAGACAATACCTTAGACTGCTCTTGCGTTTGTCAGTCTTGGCAGTTTACCGCACTAACAACATTGGTTAAAAACTCCCTACTGTAGCAGATCTTAATTTCCAGGTTGTACATGTCAGGTTTGGTTTTCAACTTGCATGAATATTTGAGTTCATTTCCTACTACAGTCTACTCTTGGTAACTCAAACACTCAATAAACCAAAACTATCTATGATTCAAAATAAAAGCTCAGTCTGTAGAAAATCTCTTAACATTCCAAAGTTTTACTATGCATTTTGATACACTCGGTAAATTCCAAAAAGAGGACACGCAGATTTGGAACACATAATATTCAAATTTTTGTCAGCAAATGCTCTTATAATTCGGGAAGAATTCCTCCCATCATAACAGGAAACTGTGCCTGTTAGTACAGTAGTGTAGTTCGTCTTAAATGCCATTGATGACATGATGTAACTAACTTAAAAATAAGCTGTTGTTTTCTGTTAAGTAACTAAAATAAGCTCTTTAATTGTAACGTTCTGTACCTTACATAATTCACTATTACGAAAATTAACTCTTTGTAATTTGAATGGTTTATTTTTCTCCCGATAAATCAAACCAGATGCTTGACATTTATTTGGTTGACCTACCAATTTCAAATTTTCTATAGTCTACTGTACTGGAACTTAAAAGACTAATGAATATCAATATTTACCGTCTTGTCGTTTCCATTCACTGCCAAGTTGTGCCATGTTTTGTCAACACACTGACATTTGAGGTGTCCTCTATAGCTTCGTCATAAATTGTGTGTAATAACTGTTTTATGTTGATACTTCATGACGAAGCCATGGTGGATGCCTGAAGATGACAATGTGTTGACGAAACATGGCACAACTTGGCAGTGAATGGAAACGACAGAAGTTAATTGATACTCATTCACATAGTTGTAAGTTTTACTTTGATTACTCTTGCATCCGATACATCAGGTATGAGAGCTCAAAGGGTAATATCTTTGACTATTGATACAACTAGACAGTCTATCCCCATGTTAAAGTTGTCACCAGTTTTTAAATCAAAATCGTGTAGTTGATGTGAGCCACCGTCAGATTGTGCTGATGTAAATTGCTGATTTTTGTTGAATACACAAATTTCATTTTCCTACAGTTACCTGACAAAGTGGGCTTCCTTGCAATGATCACAGCACACAAAGTAGCTAATTGATGCATTTACTTACTTTTGCTGCACTCATTTTACTTTGCCCCACTCCAGTATTCCAACCAAACAAAACTAAACAGTGTACTTTGATTAGGCACGTAATACATGTACGCTTGAAAATAACTTGGCAACACTTAAAGATACTACCACTACAATCACCTGGTGCAGCGTTTCCCAGCCTTTGACTATTGGTACTACAATTTAACCTGTTATTTCATGTTAACATTCTATTTTCATTCAATGGTTGGATTTAACCCAACCTAAAGCGTGTTGTTAGGTGTTTGAAAGACTAATTATTTATATACATGCCTTATAGTAACTGTAGGAAAAATATAATGTGTAATGACAGCGCAAAGTGCCACTTAGCGCACTAGTTACACAAATAAAAGTTTAACTGGTAAAACAACTTATGAGTGAGCCACAGCAAATGCTATGACCCATAAACTATTTTAACAAAAATAAGGGAGAAAATATATTTTTTGTCGCAAGTGCATTCTATGACTGACTCACTCAACTGTTACTTTACAAAAATAATTCGCAACAGCTGGTCCATAAAGATGGGATGTCTTCTTCAGTATCCATTAGTCAATGGTAATTTGATGGGATAATGAATAATCCTTTGATGTTGCAGGTATCAAATCGACAAAGGAAGAGTGGGATTCTATTTTGTTGTTGCTCAAATGGTGTAATCTACCCGTCAGTGTGACTCCCCTACTTCACATTCTTCTCAGTGAGGTTTCCAGCAATGCTCACACTATATACAGCCGCTTTAAAGAATGTGAGTTTTACCTTTTTTTAAGTCAAACTCTTGAATTATTACAAAACGTTTCTGTTTGTCCAGCCAGAAGCAAGATACAGAGGAAACACGCTTATGGGACAATCGTGCGCTTTCAGCTTGAGTTGGTTGTGCTGGAAACATACTCGTAACAAGCAAGAAAGAGAGTGGTGAGCACTGTGCAGAAATTTCTATCGCACAGGGCACATGTTCCTCTACCGTGAGGATTGTAGTACATTAGGGCAAGGGGGGCAGGGTTGGACTTTGCCTTAGACACCAGCGACTATTGCTAGACACCACTTAAGTATACCAGTGAACGTTACCTCTGTATCTTGATTATATCTGTGGTCCAGCACAGCTGATATTAGAGAGAAAGGTAAAGTAAAATTATAAGTATTAGAGAGATTGTCATTTATAAGATGATGAAGATTGTGTCAATTTGGACGTTTGTGTCGGGAGAGATTAGGGAAAAAGTTCCCAACAACACTACTCGCCAGCAACGAGTCTCGCCACTAGACGGTAGTGGTATTAACCTATTATTCCAACAACAATTAATTTTTTAGATGACTGTACAAAATAGCGAAAGCAAAGGTGGTGGAGGAAGGGTTCTTATGTGAAGGTGCATCCAGCTGGCTACTATTTTACACGATCCATATACTTGATTAAAAACAGATTGCTGAACTTCTTTTTAACTTATTTAACTAATTTATTTTTTGTCTTTTCTACAATAGCTAATGTTTGAGAACTACCTCCACATAATTTGCTAGAATTAAGATAGTTTATGTTTCAAAAGACAATATGCCTCAGTAGTAGTTTTTAGTACAAGGAAACAATCTTCTATTATTGATCGTTGCATTTCCGCATAGAGCTGAAGTAAACATTGCACAAGTGTAACTATAGATACAATATCTACACTGATAACAATATTAGGTCAACATACTGCCTTTGTTGAATCAAAGATGATATCAAACCTAATCGAGAGATTGTTAAAAAAACTACTGTATATTTTTGTAAATTTCATTTTGATTTTTGTGAAGTCTGCTGGCAGAGATAAAGGACCAACAGAAGCATAGTGGAATGATACCCGGCTTAGAAAACAAATTGTACAATTTGGTTTACGATAGCCAGTCCATAACTATAATAAATACAGGGATATTTTTTGTGGTCAAATTGATAATATCTCGTCGTGTCAACAGCTCAAGAAGTACTTCAAAAGACTTGTCTCTCCAAACCATTGCAAGTGTTAACGCCGTTCTCTTGCGCTCCGTACTACCCTACAGTGAGATACCACCCTTATCTCACCTACCACCATGCATACCAGGTATTACTAAACATTTCACAAACTTAATCCTTGTTTTGCAGGATCACCTTGTTTGTCTCTATAGCATTAAAAATGTTCGTAAAAGGATACAAACTAAACAGTTACTCTGTAATACAGTCTGCTTCGACTATTCATAGAGAATCTCTTGATATTTTAAAGTCCATCATGTATTTTGAGTAGGCTGATTTGGAACATGCAGTAATTACGAGTTTTGTTGACAGAACGCTATAATTTCAAGGGATGGAAGTGAATAAATTTTTACATTTATTCCAGTTAAAACCAACAATATAAACAACTCATGGATCGCTGGCTCAGTGTTGGCAGTCGAGCTTCCCCCACCATCTACTGGCAGAAGCCGACGCAGCCCATACATTCACCATTATAAAACACACTTTTTATTTGCTGCTCTGTTGAAATTTATAGGGATAAAATATTGCTAACGCTTGTCAAACTCTTTTTACTAGTTAAACCTTTTATGTCTGTTTGGTTCTTTCAGAAAATAGCCCATCTGAATTCTTTAAAACTACAAATTCACTAAACCCGTTTTGTAGATGTTTTTAGGCAACTGATATTGCTAGTTCCAAATTGTACATGGTAAAATAATAAGTCATTACAAAGGAGAAATAGAAAGTACAATATTTGTAATTGAAATTCTATTTTATTAATCGAAAAAATAGTACATAAACATTTAGAATAATTTTGCTAAGTTTTTGCCGCAGTGGTACCGGTAATGTTATGTTTGACGTAAACGCGATATTTTTTTCTTTCAATGTTTAATGACAATGTATCTTACAAAATAGGTCTTAAAAAAAGTATGCCTATCACGTTAATGTCAAGCATAGATTTGCGGTAAAAACTGTACAAATGTAGTAGGGTTTTTAAGAGTTCAAATGTGTTATTTTCTGCAAGAAAAGAAGAAGACATAAAGTTTAGAATAGTAAAAAGTGTTTGGCATGCATTAGCAATATTTTATATCTATATATTTAAACAGAGCAGCAACTTAAAAAGGTGCGTTTTACAATGGTGAGTGTATGGGCTGAGTCGGCTGCTGCCAGTAGATGGGGGGGGGAGCTAGACCGAAAACAGCGCCCGCAGTACTACTGAGAGCGCAATCCAGTAGTTTTAAAATCGTTGGTTAAAACAGGAAACTATACATCCTGTTAGGCACAGTAGCTTAAATGTTTAGTTAGAGCAGTATGAATCGTCTGTTAACAGAAAAGGCAAACAAAAAAGGCTTGAATGACAACTGATTTGTTCAATGAGTGGCAAGAATCATAAAATAAGGATATGAAACGTCAAAATCGTAAAATTAAATAGTTCCTTGACAATTGGTTGGTCCACAATAACGCTCCTCCTTTATCAAATGTGAAACTTTGAATAGTTTTCTTCACTTAACATGATATCCAAGCCGTAGTCGCTTGACCAAAATAACTAATGAACCTTAAATATTAAACAAATTAAATCTTTTTAATTCAAATGGTTTATTTTTCCTCCAATAAATTAAAACTCTTAATCCAGTAGTTCACATTTATTTGGTTGACCCTCAAAAAGAGTCTACTGTAGTAGATTACGCAACAGCCACAAGCTTTGTCAATTACCTGAGTTGCTTACACTACTTTAACTACGACCATTTTTAACTACGTTTGTAAAACTTCATCACCTATACTTTTCTGTTTCTTGTAATAAGTACTGGCTAGGAGTATTCGTACCATAAGTACTGGGTACAAGTTGACAAATATTACATTTTTTTGCAACACCGGTACCGAATGTATTGAAACAGTTTATTTACCTTTTACCTTTTTACCATTTAGGTGCTAAAAGATTATTACAAACCGTTCAAGCCATTCTATGTTGTCTATTCCTATTCCATTACATCTATCTGAAATGTTTGAAATATTTCAATAAACCTTCCTGCAACTGTTGGCTAGCAAATCATTTAGTTCACCTTAGGGGAATGTGTGAGTTTCCATTTAAAGTCGACGGATCAACAATTTAATTGGTCGTTACTAGTATAAGTTGGCATTCAAAGCATTATTTTAAAATTTTACTTGTTTTATCTCAATCCTTGAACCCCATTGGTCTGTTACTTTACCACACTAGTGCTGTAAAGTAAGTAAACAATGCGGTAAACTCTACCTTTTTAATTCTAAAAATTTAATTGAAAAAGCTAGTGCAAAAACGGTCATAGGTAAAAGTATTTCTTACAATATTGAACATGTTTCATTTAATTATTTTATCATTTTAATCACTGACTTAGTATATGAGAAGAGGTATTTTAAGATAATCCATTTTATAGCCCCTTGACACCTTTTATGAGAAACTATCAAAATAAAATATTTTTGTCCTAAGGGCAAATGTTTTGAAAGTATAAGCTTCCAACGTGAGGTCAAGTTAGAAAAGAGTTTTTCACACTCGCACCCACAAAATATAATTTAAAAAATGTAGCTATAACTTTTTGAACCGAACAATTTTTCTTTAATTATCTTTAAATAGCTAAAAAGAAATAATGACATTAAATAAATGTTTTATGTTTATTGACAAATCTATGTGCCCTCTTAGAGTGGTTGATATGAAATAGTATCAATTTTGTGGATTATTTTTTTACTTAAAAAATACCATCTAAAAATTTTAAAGTATTAACTAGTTACGGTTTTATTAAATAATTAATTTATAATTATAAACAAATAATTTCTCAGACAACAATATTCAGTTAATTAAATGATTTCAAATATTTAAATCATGTTTTGTCCTAGTTGCATTAATTCAACTATTACTTTAATTATATTTAATGTAATCAAGAATTAAATATCAAAATAACCACAACTACATTCAATAGCAAAATTGGTCATCAATATAACACCCATCTATTACTTTTATTTGAGATCTCCTTTTCCACTAAACCTTCAAACAGAAATCAGTTCTCTCAGCGCCTTCAATTTGCTCAACGCAGTTTCTTGCCACAACTGCAATGCTAGTTATCTACCCAGAAATTCCCGGCGTCCGCCCTACTTAAATGCAGAGGCTTGGATTTTTTTAACTATTTAATTTATCTGTTTAGAATTGTAATCAGTAAAAATTGAAATTTTAATTAAATGTAAAATTAGTTATATTTATTTGATTAAAATAAATTTTTCATGTGTTTTTATTGATTTGAATGTTCCATATGAACACATACACTAAAATATTTATTGTTTGTCATATCATTTTTTTGTTTTAGAATGTTTTATTGCTGTTAATAATATTTTTCTTATGTCTAGAGTTACTAGATTAAGATTACTGTTTTATTTATCTGAGTCCCTTTTGTAATTGACAGATGTTATCAATCCAGGGTGTCCGCAGAAATTTTGTCTTTAATTTCCCTGACTTTCCATAACTATCCATGACCATTAACCATTGATTTCCATGACTCACAAACTTAACTCAAAAATTATAATATACCGTATACACACGAATAATACTGCCTAGACAAGTTATTTCACAGAAAATATTGAAATATGTAATAACAACAGATAACAATGTAGTACAATAGGTACAACAATGAACTAATACAAACTCAAAACCCATAAACTAAGACAACTGTATAAATTGAAATACATTTGTGAAAAATTCGGAAAAAGCTACAATAGTTGGGGTTACGACCGACTAGAGCATAGAAAGGTCCCCTGGAATCCATCCATCATTGGGGATTTCCATGACTTTCAATGACCAGAATTTTTTTCCATGACTATCCCTGACTTTCCAGAATGTGGACACCCTGCAATCTAGCCTGTTTTATCAAAAAGTTTTTTTTTCAACGCCTCAAAGCAAACAAAGCCAGATACAAAATTATTAATATGTTATGACACCTCTATCTACCACTGGATACTTAGATAAGCCTACCTGAATATTGTGTCTAGTCCTGACCTAATTCAACATGTCTTTTACCAACAAATCTTTGTTACGACACTGAACCACTTTAATAGTGCTCATTATGTATGTAGGATAAGAACAAATTTTAGGATAGGAATGGAAGGGAACTTCTTGGTGTCTTATGGTTCTTTGCACTTCTATGTTTGCCTAACTTTTAGCTGAGGGCTTGAATGCATACACTTTTTTGCTAGGTTTTTAGCCTGGAACTTTTTTACACATTACTTTAGGCTATATCTAAAGGGTTGTGGAATTTTCACATAGATGAAATCCATTGGTGATTGGCGGGATTTAATCCCAGGACCTTTGGCACCGAAGCCCTGTGTTCTACTACTCGACCAGCTCACTCCCCTAAATGCATACACTTAACCTACATATTTTTAAGTTTCATAGCTCAATATCAGTACAGTAATTTAATTAGGTACTCTCATTCTAGGGGGTTTGTACTGTACTCTAAAACTAGAGATGTGAAATGCTGTTACTTTGCAATAATAGTCAGGAGCGTGCCTTAGCTTCCCGGCAATAGCATGTAATATGCCTACTATCAGTGGCGGTTCCAAGGGGGGGGGGGGGCTTTAGCCTTTAGCCACCATATGACAAGCATCGTGAATATCATCAATTACCAATCCTTAGGAAACACAAGTCTCGGTTTATGGATTACACACAAATATCAACTACAACATTCGATGGCATATTTAGTTAGGTGCAGGATGATTTGGAGAATGAGACAACTAACTGGAGGAGACCAATTGGTGCAGAAGAGAGACTATTATTAACTTTGAAATACGCTACTAGTATGTCATACCTCATTTCAATGCATGGTTTTGATTTTTTAAATGTACTGCGCTACGCTGTCTGTATGTTTCTATACTTATACTATATCTCTTGTTTCAGCTACCTGTGCTACCTTCTCTGGAGAGCTTTCCCATACCGGAAGATACTTCTCCACCAGACATGAAAACTGACATCTCTTTGACATTGAAACAACCTTCTCACTTCAGTTGAAATCAATCCAAGGCATAATTTAATGTACTTCAATGATCTTCCACTGGCAATAAAAAAACAAATCTATTCTTTACAAGTTTTCATAGAATCTATAACTAACTGTATTTATTGTTTATTTTCTTTGGGAAAATAAATGGAATTTTTTTTAAATGTTTGTGTGCAAGTTTCTGAGGAATCTTACATTCCTAACCTCCACAGCAACTTAAGATTTACCAGTTGGTTGATTATCAGACTAAATTATGTGAAAATTAGCTTGTGAAAGTACAAAAGTGTTGCATCCAATCCTAGATGCAAAGAAGAATCGTGAGCTTAAATGAGACACAATTTTAACTTAGAGAAAAACTGCATCGGCGTGAGGTAGGATGACAATTGGAGGTACAGAGTGTCGGGTGATCGTGGTAGCAGTGATAACGGAATTGATGGAACAACCAATGGGATCAGTTTATTTGATCATGCTATATGACGTCACATCGTATGATCATCTAACGGTACATGTATCGATCTAGCAGATTTAATAAAAGTAACTAGAAGAATTTCAAATTGAGGAATTAACAATGAATGAATACACTACAAGTAGTTCTTGTTATGTTATGTTGTTTTATTATCCTTACGATTTTAAAAAGATTAAAAATTGAATCTTATACTTTCAAATAACCTCATATATCTCTGTCATGGAATCTGTATGTGGCTTTTTACATTAGAGTTTGTGAAGTGTTTAAGGAGTGTGTGAACTGCACAATCATATGTAAAGAGTTTTTTTTTTTATTTTAATTGTGATTTTGATTTACAAATTTTTTTCTACACCTGTCTATTTTAGTACCAACATTGTTGCTAAGAACATTTGTGAAAACATTCTATTTTGTCACTTATTTCTGTTTTTTTTTTTTGGTTTTTTTTTAAAGAGGTTGGCGGCCTCTTTTAACCTTGCAATTTACCCGTCCACATAGACTACAGATCTGTGCGTGGAACGTATACAGCAAAGCAAGGGGTGAGCCGGTACAGTACGAAGGTGAACTGTACTAATAAATTTTAGTGCCAGTGACCAGGATCCGAACCCACGACATCGCTGCCTTGGGCCCGAAGTCGTGACACTACCAACTGAGCCACCGACTCAACAAAATCGGTTAGGTATCTGTGATACCTATCAGATTTAAAGTCACTTAGTTAATTCATGCCCTTGTCACATTTTTAAATAGGTAGCCAAATTAAGTATGGTCTAAACTTAAGTCTCACTCAATTTTTTTAAATGTACAAAGGGTAATTTTTACTAATAAGTACAAGGGACATTTAGCTATCGATTGAATAAAAACTATTTCAACTAAAATATGCTTAAAATTGAAGTATTTTTTTCAAAGGGAAATGAACTCTTAAAAGTTTTCCTGTCACTGGTTTTGAAAACAGTAGTTTTTATATTTCATAATTTTTATTGTGTTTAGTTTCTCAAAAATAACCTATTAACTTTTCATCTTAGTTTTCACTACACTTTTCAACATGGTTAAAATCCCATTCCACTACCAACAATATAGAGATTTTTCCCCATCAAAGCTTTTTAAATAAAAAAAAAAATAAAAAAAAAGATTTGCTTAGGTGAATAAAAAAGCTATCAAGTATTTCATCTTATGTATTATAAATTAATTTCTATGTTAATTTTTGTTTCGTTACTTACTTACCTACTGCTTACTGCTGGAGCATCACAAATCTCAGTCGCTTTTTTGCCTTGTAGATAAGCCTCAGCACTCTTCTTTATCCTCTGCCATCCGGATTTCTCCTCCGCACTGGATCACATCCTTCTTGACTTGGTCATACCATCTTAATTTAGGTCTGCCTAATGATCGTCTCTTGTATGTACTGCCTCACAAACCTCCTTCAGTCTTGTGCCCAGGGCCGGATTTAACATTTTGGTGCCCCTAGGCCCAATGATTTCGCCGCCCCCTAATCTGGTTTAAGTTAATTCCCTACAAACCTTAAGTAAAAACTAGATCAGGCACATGTTAATTGCTTAGTCACCACTCCAAAATGAAATTTCATCATTGCAAGTTTTAGAGGACTTAGCTTGGTTCTTGTGTTAAATTATGTCATCTTAACCACTTTAGCAATCTTCCGTATTAGTGAGCTCACGTTTGTGGGATTGAAACAAAACTATCCAACCTACAGAGCATACCTACAAGCATGGCCATTGCTGCTGTCGCGGCGGCTTTAAATTTCAGGCCCAAAAACATGAACATTGTAAGTCTGTAAGCTATACCATAGATTAAACATACCTCCTTAATACATTTTTCATTTTTATGGATCAGGAAAACAATTGTTGCTATTTCAGTTATTTTAAACCTTGTTTAACCAAATAAGACAATCTAATCATAAACAATAGCTCATCCCCTGTTTATATAACAAGAAAGAAAAGCACAACTCATAAGCTTAATCCTTCAATCATAGAAGTGTAATTTTACAAGTTATTTCCTGTCTGTTGTAATCTTTATGAACAAAATGCTTGTCAAGTCTGACCATGTTAACGTAAAAGATTGGTTTAACGCTTTCTTTTGCGAGGTTAGGGTGGTAAGTTTGTTTTGGCAATAACATTGGCATGGGCCCGTAATCACTCCGAGCAGTAGCGCTCTAAGTCAGCATAGTGGCAGTGGCAATATGATGCGTACCCAGGATTACAAACATAGATAGATCTAGTTTGTAGTCCTGATGCGTACCGCCATTAAATTATAGGTGTATAGTCAATGGTACTGATCAACAACATCCCTAGCCCGGTGATTAAGCAGTAGCACCATTGCTGTAACAAACTTGGTGTGTGATGTGTAATATTGAAAAATAAATAATTTAACTTTACCAACAATAATTTGTTTCAATAAACTTGAGTTCAAACTCTAGCCTGATTTTTTTAAATCAATTCGCAAGATATCTTAACTTTATGGCTATTTATGTTGATTTCTAGATCATTAAAAAAATTATTTTCCCTCGGCCGTGCGCCCCCTGGTAGCTTGCGCCCATAGTCCCGGGCCTACTGGGCCTATTGGGAAATCCGGCCCTGCTTGTGCCCTCCTGTCTACAAAGTACATGACCTAACCAGCTAATCCTTTTGGCTCTTTTGTTTCATTTACCTATAATTAAATCATATAAGCATCCAAGCAAGATTCCTCATTTCTTAAAAATTGGAATGCATGTTTTTTTACTTTTTACACCCAAATTACCCATCACTATAGACCTGATCTGTGTGGTGAAAAGTGAGAAAAAAACACAATAGCATCGAGTTAATATCAAAATAGGATGTATTACGCTAACAATTAACACAAACTTAACAAAAATATAAACATAACATAATAACATCTTAACCAAGTCCGATGATTCCTTGAAGGTTTCCAGACGCGCCAAGGAGTCCAAGTACTTCAGTTAAAAGGCTAAACACAATCCTCAACACATCTGAGAGTATGTTGAGTACAAGGTTAAGTAGACTTCCTATGAGAGTGAGTAAGATGGACACTAAGTCGTTGCAATCAAAGTCTCCGCAACCCCCTTGACTGCTATCTCCGCTGCTGTTGTCTTCACTGCTGCTGTCTTCGCCTCCTTCGCAATCCCCGCCTTCGCTGCCACCACCTCCGCTGCCACCACCCCCGCTGCCACCACCCCCGCTGCCTCCACCCCCGCTGCCTCCACTCATGTCACTGCTTTGACTACTTCCGCTGCTTTCACTACTTTTACTTCCTCCATGTCTTCCTGCTGCGATTCCCTGAAAACATTGTGATGTTGATCATACTTACAATTTGTTTAGTTTTTAGCTAGCAAATTTTTCAATAGGTCATTAACTAGTAATGGTATGACCTAGATCCGGGACCAATCAACTTTTTCATTTTGGTGTCCCCAAAGGTTTTTCCGTGTCCATCAGCACGATAATTTGAGAAAAAATCACCCGATTTTGATGAAATTTGGTACAAACATGTAAGTCTACTCATTCAAACGGGTTTGTGAACCAGCATGATCAGCCCATGAGAACGGGATTTTAAGGGTGTTTTATAGGGTAAAATCAGTTTTTCCCATTTTCACCCCTTGAAACATAAACTTTTGCGATTTCTTTCTAAACCATTTTGTAGAGCTTAAAAACAAATAAGTAGTAGATTGTAGGGTTGTACACTTAATGGTTATGGGAAATATTCTAAAAATATGTAAATTTAAAACTCACAGTTATTTACACATATTCATGTCCTCCTTTACATCCTAGGACACAATAGGTTCTAGCCCAGAACTGTTTCACTTCAGTCATAGATAAGGGTGGTTTGCAGGATTTGAACCCGAGAACTAAGGCACAGAATCTTCGAGTTCCATATCTAGACCAGCTCGCTTCCCTTACAGTTAGAGTAACCACTAATATAAATTATATCAGCCCAATATATACTGAACTTCTGTTTAAAGGGACAATACTAACTGTCTTTCAATTAAATTTTAAAATTTTCAGTGAATGGTAAAATCACTAGAGATGTTCTAAAGATATTAATAATCAATCTGTGAGCAAAAATTTCTTGCCAAACAGAGGCAAAAAAGTCAATGCTCTCTTTATAAGGGACATTAATACACAATAAATAATGAGGATGTATTGTTTGTTTAAGAATAGTCAATTTTCCAATCAGACAACGAATAAGAGTTCAATTCTCCCAGACTATAAAGTACATTATACAATCACAGTCGTCTAGTTCTGTACTTTTATCAGTGTTTCTTGGTTCAAGAAACTTTTGCTATCATTTATGTAACATACTCGTAATAAAAAATTGTACTGGTAGCTATTCTTGGGTACTGTACTTTCATCATACTAAAAGAGTATATTTATTTCCTTTGATTGAGGAAGTTACTTTCCAATGTATATATATTTTTAATACATCGGTTTGGCTCCTTTGTATGATAAACAAATCTATATTTTACAATATTCTAAACGGAGGTTTAAATGGTTGTAATATCACATTATTATTGAGCCTCTAACTGTAGAATTGCGAGTCATCGTAAAATTAATAACAAATCTCTATTGTCTTTTAAGACTTTTAAACATTGATAATGTTCTAATTGCTAACATTATGTATTGAGTAAAGATAAAACCCTTTATATTTACTGTTATTTTTGTTAAAGAAGTAAAGATAAGGGTTTGCTGTTAATATTTTGGGGCTGACCTCATAACCCCTTATAAGAGGTTTATTTAAGGTAAGAGGTTTATTTAAGGTAAGAGGTTTATTTAAGGTAAGAGGTTTATTTTAGCAGTCCTATTTGTGGTATTTGCTATTAATATCCATAAAAGAAATTGTAGCCCAGTGGAGTTTTATATTTAAAACGCTACAGCTATTAAAAATTACCCAAATTTCAAAATAGTGAATAAAATTGCCATTTTACAGTAAAAGTTTTATTTTACTATTTAAAAAGGTGTAAGATTTAGCTCCATCACATTCTAAAAACCTACTCTACCAGAACTTTTGGAACGCTCTGTATATCTGGTTTGTGTATGTATTTCCAAACATGATTGAATGTTGAACACATTTGAGATCGGTGCAATGAAAATTAACCTAAGAAAAACACATTCAACGACTCAGAACCTCTACAATACGTTGTTTTGAGAAGTCAACCTTGATAACGTAAAACAATACAGTAGAACCTCGATAAGAAGTGTTTCAAGGGGATTGGGAACACAGTCGTATTATTGAGATGCTCTTCTTGTGGGTTGTGTTATCAAGGTAATTTCAGCCACAGTTGATTCATCTAGCACCTAGCATCTTTATAGTAAGCGCATTTCCGAACTTATGCATATACATATTTTCTTTCAAACTATAATTTAAAGTGCAGTTGGCCAATGTGATCAATGCGTTTCAAAATGAAATAGGTTATTAAATTGAATGTAATTTTAATAACATACTACAGTTTTATTTTTGAGTTATGGTACATAAAATACACTACTAGACAAAAAAAGCCATTGATTTTTGTTTGCTTGGACTTGCTCATGTAGTTGTAATGTAAAACACTATCAAGTAAAGCTATCAATATGAGAACAAAATACTGTACTTGAGATAAAACAATGCATAGTCAGTAATGGATTAATAAAATTTAGACCACACTAGTAACGCTACTGACGCGCTAGTAGTAACGCTACTGACGCGCTAGTAGTAACGCTACTGACGCGCTAGTAGTAACGCTACTGACTGCAAGTGGAGTAGGGGTTTCAGCAGAGCTCTAGGCTGATATTGAAGTTACTTCTTCCGAAACATCTGTTTTAGCGAATTCCTATGGGAACTGTTTCATACAGATAGCCGTGTTACCAAAGTTGACTTCTCAAAACGAATCGTCATAAAGGTTCTGAGTTGCCTCGGGATTGCGAAAAAGGTGTCTTATTGAGGTTGTTTGGGTTGAAATTGTTGTGTTAGAGGTTAGTTTAACATGGAGTGTTATAGGTTTTACAAGGGGATTTGAAAAGTGCACTTGTAATCGAGGTTGTCGTGTCATTTTGAGTAGTTTCTGCTGTATAAATATACCTTGCTTCAAGTTGTTGAGACAAATTTGAGAGATGGCCCAGTCGTCTTGTTTTTACCCTTTTGGTCAGAAAGCTTGACAACTTACCCAGAGTATAGTTGTTTTTTATTAGTAAAAAATAAGCAACAATCATTGATTAACTCGTAGTATGCCCTTACTCAAGTTGCTAGAACCGTGATACCTTTTCCTACACTAGCTTCTATAACTTTATTTTTTTCTGTAGTATATTCAACTTATTTTTATAGCAATATCCATAACATCTTAGATTTTGTAGTCATTCAACTATAACAGAGTGTTGTAATTTTAGCACGGGATCGTAATGCTAAAATCGAATATTTTTTTTAAAACAGAAATTGTATTTATTCACCTATTGCAAACTTTGTAACACATTATAACATTACTTAACCTACAGTTATAGTTAAAAACAAAACTGTACGTATTAAGAGTTGTTTTAAAATCCTCCTATTATGAAGAGAATTAACGATTCAATCAAACTTGATAAGGCAACTGACAGGCAAAATAACCTTGATAACACTACCTTCAACAAAAACAGCCCCTTGACAAGAATTATTTCACAGTGCCTTGAAACACTTCTTGTTGCGGAGGGTGGAGCGACGGAAAAAAAGGATCTTTACATTCAAAACCTACCTCAGAGTGAAGAGATTAAGCTTTTAAACGTGTTAGAAATAATACAAGTTTAATTTTGCACAAATATCCGGGAATAACTTACAGACCCCCTATCTAAAGTGGTATTCTATACCAAAACTGGTTATCATTATTCATGATTAAAAAAGGACTCTCATATGATAAGAACAGCTCTGGTTGTTTTGAATTGGTGCTTTGTGAAATTTCTAAACCCTAAGATGAATCTCTTACCACCAAAAGCACGAGAAGCGCAAATAAGACGAAGTGTCTCTGCATTGTTGTTCCGTAGACTTATGCACCAGGAGTCAGTAGGCTCTTATCATTCAAAATTTTTATCAGTTTGTTCAATTTCTCTGTACACTATCTTCTTATTGACTCAGTGATACAAATTTGCTACCTAATGTAGCTATAATTAGTTAGCTATTTTCATATACAATGACTAAGTATACAATGACTAAGTAGTTTTAAAGCTTTATTTGTGTTCCAATATAAAATTGTATTAAAAAAGAAGGTAAACTTAGGTGAAACCTCTATAATTTATTTATTCCCACCGCAAGCAGCCATAAAGAATAATTTTTACAAGATGGTGAGATTTTCAGGAAAGTCTAAAAATATGAATCTTTAGCATTTTTTCAGAATAATTTTGAAAATCTGTAGGTCTACTTAGAGTTTAATGCCCAAATATTATTCTAGCAACTTGTTTTCAAGGTTTCAACCAAACTAGTGCAATATGGCACGCATATTTGGTCGCCTTCATATATTTTATACCAGCTTATAGCTGAGGAGGAAAATAGACAAATTAAATGGATAGGCCTATATAGACATTTTAAATTAAAAGTAAGGTTAGTCTTATAACACAAATTACAAAGGGTAGAAATTGGATTTTGAGTTGTTAGAAAATGACCATTTATATTCCAAAATATTCCTATAACACAGGGTTTATGAAAGAATCATCAGGTTCTAATGACATGTATCTCACTCAACTCTTGTCCCACATTCATATTTGAAACATGCGCTTAAAAAGCATGTTTCCAAGTTTTATAATCAGTCTTGACCCTTCTCAAATGCCCCCCTAGATCTCCTGATCTTACGGTGTGTGGTTTTTTCAATGGAGCTATGTAAAAGACAAAGTTTATGTACAGCCAATGCCTCAAACGCTTCAAGGGCTCTGTGGACGAATTCACAATGCCGTAGAATCAATCAACCTTGCGGTGCTAGCCGGTGTATGAGACAATAATTTACAGCATAGATTGGAAACTTGCTCCACGGCTAATTGACGGCACATTGAGCACTTGTAGGGGTATCTATGAAAAACTTTAGAGTTCTCCTTTCTGTTGATATATTTAATATCCGTATTTGTTTAACATTAACTTCAATAAAATGTTTAAAAACCTGATGATTCTTTTATAAACGCCCTGTATTTTAGTGCTTATACCATTGAGTTTTAGATACAATTTGTCACCTCAATGAACCAGCTGTAGTCAACTGTTTTATCAAATAGAACTTATGCTACAGTTGGATTAGCCACTCGCATATTAAAAATAAAATTATATTGCTTGTTGCCAGAAATGTTGCAGAGTTGTTCTCTCAAAGTTGTATTTTCTTCCCAAATTTTGTATACTATGATAGTTGGTGTGATGTAAAAATGCAATAATTTTAGTTTACAATAAGATTAAAAGTTTCCCTTTAATTGTAATTGGTAAAAAAGTAGGCCTGTTAAAAAATTCCAGTTATTAATTATCATCACCGAACTTAATTATGTCAATGATTCTATTCAACTATTTACATTTTTATTGTAAAACTGGTTGAAGTGTTAACATAGGAACATGAAGGTGGGATGTCTACTATTCAACATTAGGTGTTGACAATTGACATTAGGCGTTCACAAAGAAAGCTGGTTACAAGTAACTTATTTTCAGCGCTTGCTCCAAGCGCTTTAGAATCTTGTTGTTTGTACACAACAAAAGCTTGCATTTCAAGCTAGTTTTCTGTTAAAGACAATGACCTCATCAAATGATGAAGAGTTATTTTTGCTTGAAAATGTTGAATTAAAAATTTGTAGGATAAGGAAAGTTGGTGTTCATGCAATTAACCCCGGAAGAGGTAGGTTTGCGGAATACCACCCATCTATTTCCTCAATTGACATTGGACAAAGTGATGTTTTTTTCTTATATGACATAAGACATAAGACATTTATTGATCTTTAGGCAAAATTACATGCAATCGATCTTGTCATGGACGCTTGAAATGCACAAGACAGTCATAAGTACAATAGTAAAACATGCTGACTAAAGCAAACATAAAAATAAGTGTCATTCTACAAAATTAAATAAGAGTGGCTATTTTAGAAAAAGAAAAAAAACTAAAAAACATCATGCGAAATTGATGGAGCTAAAGTCTGCTTCAAAATATTCTTTAAGGCTGTAGAAGGGCCTTACTATCAACCATGCATATATCACATTCTTAAAACTACCTAAGCTAACATGCTGAGCTGAAAAAGGCAAGCAATTGAAAAGGTCAATACCTGTAGCTTCGAAGGACGTGAGAATTTTGGTCAGTCTTGTGTAGGGTCTGCAGATTTTGTTTTGACCTCGTGTACCATGGTTGTGTACGTGCCTGTGGAGAATGAGAGTGTTTAGGTGCTTTTTGGTATGTAAGAGACATGCAAAAATGTACAAGTTGATTACAGTTTGAATTTTTTCCTGTGAAAAAATAGGTTTGCAGTGTGTATTTGTGTCAGAGTTAGTGATGATTCTCAACATCTTCTTCTGGGCTACTAACACACTACTTATGGAGCTAGAATTTCCCCAAAACATCAACCCATAGGCAATTCTACTTTGAAAAAGAGAGAAATAAACCATTCTTAAGCAATCAGGGGATATGCAGACTTTTAACTTTCTAACTAAACATATTATTCGGATTATTATGAGATTGGAGTTAACCACGTTCAGTAACACCCTCAAGAAACTCTTAGCATGTAGTTTGAGGCGTTTGTCCCAAATAATCCCTCTTCTAAGGACTTAAGACATCAGTTCATCGACATCCATACTACACAGATGGTTGTCACTGACTGGTTCGGTCAACAAGTGCCGGAAAACAAGTACAAAACGTTCCTGCACGCTTGTCAGAACTTGTAGCAAGAGCTTGCTAGCCGGGGCAAGCTTTGTCAGTGAACGCACATGCTTGATACAATGTAGACTTTTCTCACGCCGGTTGGAACTTGCAAGTGCTTGCCAACAAGCGCTTGTAACCAGCTTTCTTTGTGAACGCACCCTAGAAGACAGTATAGTCCCTCAATGGTAAAAACTTGTCCTCTTTTTTCCTTGTTCGTTCCTTATAAGCAAATTTCCCATATAGGGAATAAGCTATTTTAGTAATCATGATAATACCTGGACCCGGGACCGATTTAATTTTTCGTTTTGAGGTTCCCACCCAGAGGCAAAAGGCACCATCTGTTCAAATTCACATACAGTATATATGACCGTTAGCACGATAACTCGAGCAAAAATGATCCGATTTTGATCAAATTTGGTATAAAAACAAGTAAACCTACATTTATTCAAACGAGTTCGCGAACCAGCATGATCGGACTATGGGAACTGGGTTTTATATGGGGTTTTATGGGGTAAAAATAGGTTTTCCCCACTTTTGACCCTGAAAACACAAAATTTAACAATTTCTTCCCAAACCATTTTTTAGACCTTAAAAAACAAATAATTTAGTATATTGAAGCATTATTGCGTGCCTGATGGTTACGGAGAAAATTCCAAAAAATAGTAAATTTAAAATTCCCATTTTATTCTTATGGAGAACAAGTCAACTCTTGTAGTTTGCTTGTTTATGAACATATTTTGATTGAATTTTGGAAATACATTTATTTCTTACTAAACTATTTTTTTAAGCCTTTTTTACCCTACCTGTTGCAGCAAACCTAAGTACTCACTAAACTAATTCCAGGCTATTTAAATAGGGAATAAATGTGACATTTTTAAGGAGGCATTTTAATGTAAATCCAATCAGGCTAATGGAAATTTGCTTAGTCTGCAGGTTTGCTACGGTGGGGGCATTTATTTTGTTTGCTGGTTGACTTAAAACTAAGCATGGTTTGATTTTATTGCTAACCAATCTCTGATGATTGTATTTCTATTTAGCCTAATTGAATTATGTATATTAGACATAGCCTATCTATCGCTGTAATGTTTAATAACTGAATAAAAAATTTCAATTTGAATTTGAAATCGACCAAAGTGGGAAGTGATATTCAAAAAGAGAATAATATTTCCTAAAATTAATACCGTACTATGTATTTCTTGTAAATACTCAATAAAGGCAGCCTAAAGTCGGCTACAAATAGAAGCTTGGAAACAGAAACTTGAATACTGTAAACCCATCTTATTATATATTCTTTTTTTACTTTTTCACTACAAATGTTAAATAAAATCAAACATTCATAAAGTTATTTGCTAATCTACACGAATTAGGTTTTTTATCAACCCATTAATGGACAAAATTGATCCAGTAGAACTATAGATTTAGTTACCACAAAGTTCAATAAAAATTCTTTAACTCAGTATTTTCTCCCCACCACAAATTTGGAGATTGCTTAGCTATTTTGCAAAATAGCTTTTAAATGATGCGGAAACCAAGTAAAGTGGACGGTGATATTCTGAAAAAGAATTCAATTTCCTATAAATTAGTATAGTATGCGTTTATTGAAAATGCCCAAAACAGGCAGTCATAAGTTGCCTCCAAATAAAAAATGTGATAAACACATTAGGCTATGTAGCCTATTTCTTATGGAAAACATGTTTTATTTTTATTTTTCATCGTAAATTATAAGAAAACAAACTTTCATAATTATTTGCAAATCTACATGAGTTAAGCTTTCCAAAAACCCATTAATTAATAAAATCGGTCCTTTAGAAATATAGACTAATTCAGTATTTTCTCACCACTATAAATTTTGAGGTTATTTAGTTTTTTTTTGCAATTCTTTTAAATGGTGAGGTAATCGATCAAAGAGGAAGGTGTTATTCTGAAACAGAATAAACTTTCCTACAAATTACAATCATGCATTTCTTGAAAAATACTCAATAAAGGCAGCCTAAAGTTGGCCACTAGGCTAATAGAAAAGTGGAAATAAGTTAAACAATTGAAAAAAATCAGTGTTTAATGTACTTTTGGTTGTTTTATATTTTTCACCTCAAATATTTAATAAAAATCTAACTTTCAGAATTAAGTTGCTTGAAAATCTAAGTTAGGCGAATTAAGTTAGGCTTTCCAACGACCATTGATCAACATAAGATTA